TTCTCAAAGATAAACAAGATACACTATAGTCCTTGGCTCTCTTACAAACAACAACTTTACTCTAGGTGCTGATATCAATGGCCCCCTACTAGCAGCAGTTATCAGTATAGAGATGATAGGAGGACTCATTGCTAACTCATTTGTACTCATACTGACTATATGCCATATAAAGACTTGGAAACAACCCTCTACTTTATTCCTTACTAACATGCTGATATCTAACCTCCTGATTGTCCTCTTTGTGAGGCCTTTCTCAATTACAACTGCAGCAAGTGGTGAGTGGTTGTTCGGAAAAACTTACAAACAGAAAGTGAAAGTTTGTCAGTTCACAGCTTTCATATTTTGGTTCTGTGTGATTGTAATCACAGAAGGTCTCGTGTTGCTATCGTTTGATCGTTTCTTTTACATTGTCAAGTCTTTTGAATACGAGCGACACATGAACCGGAAAATATCAATAATAATAGTGACACTGTCATGGCTACTTGCTGCCCTACTAACTATCCCACCATTGTTTGGTCTCGGGCGTTTCGGTTTTTCTTCAAGTTACGGTATTTGTGTCCCACACTGGGAAGGAGAGTCTGGCTATGTAGTATACATGCTAATGGTATTCATCATTTTCATAAAAAGTTGACATAATTAAGTTTACATAGTTTTACTGTATAAGGACTAGTTTGTATTTATAATTGCATTAAGAAATGAAGCACCATGGTGCGTGGACTCGCCTGCTGAGATTCACCTGAGGGATAATGTGTTACTTGTACTGCCCCCATCATGATATTATATATATATATATATATATATATATATATATATATATATATATATAAGCAACTTGATTATTTAAAAAAAAGGATAATAGATTTTGACAAAGTGCAACAATGCAATTACTGCACTGATCCATAAAATGAATTTTAGGTGTGGTCAGCACTTAGCAGTACAGTGCAGTCATAGATAATAGAGTAAATGAAATTGTGCATTTCATTTACTCTATTATCTATGGTGCAGTGCAGATAAACATGGCATGTGGGTAGGAGAAAGAAGAAAAGCTGAAATTTATTTTAGCATCTGAAGCTCTATTCAAAGAAAGAGTAAGCACAAAAAATTTGCCTAGATATTTAAAAGAGACTGAGATAGTTTGGTTGCTCCTGCTTTCCCCAGTGCTGCCTGAAAATTTTTCGAAGAGGCTAAATCACAAACTTTGAGCAACTGTAACTCGCAAACGAAAGAGATTAGAAAATTCCCACATATTTTTTAATCTATGTACTTTTCTCTACCTATCAATGCTAATCTTGACCAAATAGAGTGAAACACGAAGATTTGGCTAGGAAAAGTGGTCTATTCTTGAAAATATTCAGCTTTTGCTACCACGGATTGCTATGAAAACACAACGGAGCTAAATAAATTATCTTTTTCTCAAAGCTGAAAAAGAATTATAACTCAGGAGAGCTCAGTAAAAAAGATATTGACTAGGAATTAACAGGAATTTTCGTGACAGAATGACAACCCAACTGCATAGTAGCCGCCTACGCAAGCGTGGCGAGTCCAACAAAACTTTGGTGCTGAAAGTTAATAATTGAAGAGCAACAATAGCAAACAATATTTCAATTAACAGTCATTGAGCAAAGCAGTTCATCAAACAAAAATACAAGTAGCTACATTTATTTTAGAATTTTCAGTGCATTTTCCTTTTAAAATTTTTCTAGCTAAAATTTGCTTACTAACAATCTTAGTCTACTAATAAGTTGCTTTAGATTTATTTCTCCACAATTTTTTCATCTCATTGCGGACTAAACATGATACAGATCATTAAAAATGTGCATAATATGTTGTAAAGCAGCAACTTTGCAGAGTATAAGATTACTCAAAGGCAACTAAGTTTATTACAAATCACTGAAAATCAGACTAACACAAAACTGTCAAAAGGTCACACAACACACAGCAACTTATATGTACCGTATTTCCTCGTGGAAATGCCTAGGCATTTATTTCTTATAGAGACCCATTTGCCAGGCGTTTAAATGAAGTAGGCGTTTATACGAGGTGGGCGTTTATAACCAAAAATAATCCTTACCACCATGTTTCAATAGACACAATGCGTAGTTTAAAACTGACATCAAAACTTCAATGAGTTTCCTTAGCCTTCTCAGCTGCAGCTGCCATTGTAGAATGTAGACTATGTAAGGTAGTAGGTACATGTACCACGTGGATGGGGCAGGTGGGTGTGGTATAGGCTTTTAATCAAGAATGGGCATCTAAACAAGCATGGGCGTTTATTGTCAAAGTTATATGCTGTCTCTAGGCGTTTATACAGGCATGGGCATTTATAGGGAGTAGGCGTTTCCACGAGGAATAACAAAACCGAAATAGAGAGCACCAATAATAACCATACAGATAATTCTAGAACAACCACAAAAAGAATATCTAGAACATAGAAGAGTAATCAAGATGGTACACATAGACACACATCAATACTATTACAAATTATAAACACAATATTAATTACAATAATAATTAAAAAAGACAACTATTGCTCCTGTAAGCTTAAAGATAACTAGGTAACTATATTGATGAAGTTGATGTGATTCTAGTGTTGGTGTCACAAATGTAGCTTCCTGATGAATTGGGTGTCATAGCTCTTGATCTCTTTCTTGTATTTTTAACAATCCAATTCTAACGCACCAGCTGTATATTATATTCCTTACTTCACACCTGAAGTAGACTTGAGCCAGTGGAATGAGGATTGTAATCATAAAGATCAGGACACAAGTAGCTGCATAAAGCTGTTGGGGTAGGGGAAGGAAAGGTCCAATCAGAGCAACTGCTGAGAAAAGAAAATAACAAACAATATGAGCAATAATGAGTGCCCCAAACAGCCCAATGAGTTTCCTTCTCTGAGTGATGTAAACACTGTTCCTGCAGTTCCTCCTAGTGTTCCTGTCCTTGAGATACTTCCTTGTATAACAGAAGGTCCAAGTTGAGGTTATTACAATGCTACCGATAA